AAATGTTATTAACGCGTTCTATTTGATATTCACCTAGGTTTGCACCAATTCATTTTATTCCACATGCCCAACAGTGCTCATTACCCAGCGTTAGCTGGATTATCAAGAGAAGAGTTCACGGCTAAAATGCTCAGCACACTACTCTACAGTTTCTTTGAGCTCGGGTCATTCGTCATGATGGTCATCGTACTAAAACGCAGACTTGGATATTCCGGTTTGCAGCAGCTAGCCTTTGTTCTAGACGTGTACGCCAGTGTGGTTCAGACGAAGCTGAACTTGATTTTCGTCTACATCATGCAAGTGTCGTTGGATCACCACGGTGAGTGCATTTGTGCATTTGGAAGATCTATCGCGAGAGAGACTAACATGTGTTTCTTTTTGACTACGGTAAGGTGCTGATTTCACATTTAAATTCGCGTGGTTAAACTCGAAGAGAAAGTTCTGATATTTTGAATAATACACATGGGAAACGCAACTTAAACACATTAAGCAAGCTGGTGTTTACTGTCGAATGTAAACAAGAGGCAGAATCCGCAGAACCGACCGTGTACGTAGCCAAAATCGGTGCGAATTCGTATCTAAAACGTCGATCCGTTTTTTTAATGACTTGATCGGTGTGTTGTAAACAGTTGTAAATTTTTGAATTTCGGGCGTTTAAATTAAATGTACACTATTAATACAGATAATAGATGCTCTGCACACGCCCTTAAAGATCAATACTAAGTGTCATGTCGACACCTCAGGGAAATAGAGAATTCCACTGTACGGATATGGGTTTATAATCATCGAAGTGTCGTAGCCCTGTACAGTGTCTACAAGACACCGCCACCAGACGAGTCACAGCGAGGCCAATGGTAAGTTCACCTACACCCTAAAAGGTAACTGTGATGAAAACTGCAATAGGGCGTAATTCAAGAAATCGATGCAAATTGATTTTTTTTTGCCCTTGCCTGACCGCAACAATGGATCTTGGAATGCCATCGATATAAGGTATCGCAGGATAACGACCTCAAGTGCGAACAAATAGACAAAGTCGCCGCTAGAAAGCATGATTACAACGTACAAAGCGGATTACGGGCAATCAAGAGAACGCCACACAAGCGAAGTATCATTGTCATTTGATGAAGTTCCTTTCCAGTTGTTTTGTTGAACTTGAGAAAAGATGGACTTTCGGGTAGTAGACCCCACTAGATTTCCGCAGCCTCTCTACGATAGAGAGGCTGCGGAAATCGCTCCAAATGCTATGTACTATGTATACTGTAGATGCCTTTGTATAATCGCGAGTATATTAGCCGAGTATGGAGCTTTACTTTTTAGTGTATGATGCTATTCCAATTGTATATATATTTTTTTAAATACAATATGCATTCTTTTGTGCGTAACTCAGCAACCACTAATTACAACGTACTGGTTTACTCCGGCTACAATGGTAATTATTTCATATTTGGAGCAAATCTAGTGTCCACTCTAAGCAAAGAAAAATGCAATTTTTGTTTTTTACAATTCGCAAGTGGTTTGATGTAATGCTTACCTGTAAAGAGGGGGAGCACTAAAAAAAACTCGACAGATGACTTGTATGCGATGATTGTAAATATTGATATCCTGTCGTACTTGATAAATTGCAAACTGGTAGACATGCTTTTGTATAGTCCCTTGATAAAACTAACTTGAAACTTGATACCTAGCTACGGTGCAATGTGATGATATAAAAAATATGGTCAAAATCAAAGGTTTACTTACCTACTAGCAGTTGGAATCAGTGGTACGTATCGACATGAAATCACGTGCTCGTCCATTCTAAGCCGATTCTATCGGTAATCAGGCAGTAGAAAACTTGGAGTACTTACTACCATAACTTTTGAATATTTCGTTCGAATCCCACTAAATTTCAGGAATGTGCACCACACCAACAGTCGTAACACGATCAACTTGCTATACTGGACGTCTGCCAATAATGCAGTAAGTACCCACCATATCGCAGCGGATAAGACAGGTTAAAAAGATACATACTAACTTATCGAGATTGACGTCTACCACAAACGCATTAAGAACTCAGTGTCTGTCCTTGGAAAACAGTCCCAGTTTGTGCTAGTTACTAGGGCAAATTTAATGTACCAGCCACTTCTATCTGGACAAAACGTGCCGTTGACTCTACCATTTTCTATCTTTGGGGCTCATTCGGTGTTTTGAGTGATTTTGGCGCAAGATGGAGGACGGCGAAAACACTACAACGTCTCTGCTGCTATGCATGGGTGAGACACTTACGAAGTACGAGAGGGAAGTGGATGACGCTCGAGATGCAATGTTCCTGTCTTATGACCAAGGAGGTATGGTGGATCGCTATGCGATCGCAGCACTATCTTACCGTGAGTTGCCTCGGCAAGCCCACCGAGTCAGCCTGGATATCCCTGTA